AAATCCTGAATAACAATAGATATATAAAATTCTTAATAAATTATGAAAATAAATATTAATAATTACCACAAAAATAAATTTCATCTCTGAGTGTACAAACATATAAATTTCAAAATAAATATAACAGATTGCATTATAAAGAAAAACAAATATGAAAATTGCTTTATGCATGCATATGTTTGCCGGGGATAACGGGAAACAAATTATATTAAATGAAAAAAAAAAGAAAGTCTTTTTAATGCCGGATCTTAATAATGCAGTAGCAACATAACTCAGTATCAAAAGCATTGTAAATATTGCAAATTAATTTTACATCGAAGATATTGCGAAAGCAATATGCTCGATCTTGTTATATTTATGGTTTTATCATAACAGTGCTCAGTGACACATTAAATTATCATAAAAACAGTTAACGAAAGTTTTAGCTGTGGCTGACTTAACTGCACTACGCTGTCGTGAAGTGTGGCTCCCATATTCGACATTTCCATGGCTTTGAAATCTGCCACTTGCTACGGTCTATTGCACTTATGTGTTTGAGTTGAACTCTTCTCTCATATCTTAAGTAAATTCTTTGATGCATAGTAAGGTGTTTTTTTTTTTTTTTTTTTTTTTTTTTTTTTGCACTAAGCGAATGGTAGATAATTTCCATATTCCATGCAACGATTGCAATCCCATTCGCAACGTAAGGCCGCACGCGTCTTCATTCGTTCACATTAAGTAAATCGTTGTTGTAATATCGCTTCTCATATCTGCCCAAGACAATGTGTTTGAAATAATTGCGTTAATTATAAAGTTTTAGTTATTTCGCCCTTTGAAGGCATTCATCAGGTCTTATCAACGCAGCCCTCAGCGTAGTTATGTATCCGTTACTATTGGAATTGCTATTGTGCTTTAAAAGTTATTTTTAACGTTACTTTCATTTTTCTTTCAATTCGCATTGTATTCCTACCCTTAATTGGTAGTAGCATTATCTTATAAAAAAATATTTCAATCCGTTTGTAACACGTAACATTCAAGTCAAAGTCACTGCTAAGGGTCATCAAATAAGTGCTTTTTTATAACCAATACCCA